TAACCATTTATGTATTTATTTGTCTGTGTAATTTTGTACTATATACATTATACACTGATGAAAATAAATGATATGTTATACAATATTAATAATGTTCTCTTCATTTTAATATAATTTAGGTTACGTTTATAAAGTTTTACCAACTATGTTTAAAATAGTTTATTATTTCTATAAATGTCTACTATATACCTTTACAATAATACAGTATATACGTGCAATAATATCACTATATTTAAGATAATATAATTATCAATAAAACAGAAAATCTGAATTTCAAAAGTTGGCTAAATCCATTGAAAACTATATGTTCATTTTGTTTACCAACAAAACATTATATTTACCTTTTTGAAAGCAAATATAAATTAAAGTTTCTGAGAGAAATACCCAGACCTTATCCTAAGAAGTTTTCTAGGAATTTTTTAGGATGTTTCATATTTGATGTTTATACTGCCTATGGAGTAGGAAGGGTTAGCAGAGGTGAGTTAAAGACCAACAAATATTTATAATCTGATATTTTATGATATTATATTATTATAGTGCGGAATGATGTAAACGTTGGAATTTAAATATACATTAAGAGTACCTTATAGTTTATAGTATATATTTTATTCTAACTGTATTAAGTGAACGGTTTTTTTGGTACATATTTTTAGTACTAAATTTGGATTATAGTTAAAATAAAGCCTAGCAATTCATTCTTGGTAAATCATTTAGAACAATATTTGTTTTCAATAATAAAAGATATTAAAGATTTAAAACTAAACGACTTACATAGACTTAGGCACTTTTATTAGTTTTATCTATTCTAAATATACGGCGAATAACACTTTTGTAAGGAACATTAGATCACGAAATTAACTCAACTAAAAGATTAAAGTGAAAATGTAAGTACAATAATGATTTATGATGATTACATCAAATGTATTGCAATTAATATGTATACATAGCCGTATATTATAATGTGTACATAAATGTTATATAAAAAGTAAATTTATGTTTGTATCGTAAAATATTAAAAATATTATCGTAACATTATTAAATAACCATTATTTAATTAAGTAAATTGTGGTCCTTTATTAGAATTTATACTTAATAGTATTTATAAAAGAATAAAAGATTCCAACTGAGTAATCAAAAAAAAAGCTTATATTATCTTTTAGCTTTTTCAAATTGACTGTATTCTGGATTCGAGTACTACAGCTACTTAAATATACTGCAGTTTGTTTTCATTATAGCAATGTTGTTTTATGTCCATTAGCTAATTCAGTTTATTAATTGCTATTGAATTATTTATAATACTTTGTTTATTATCTTAGTCGTAGTATAGTAATACTATAAAATATTACACCTATAGTTACTAGTTACAATATTATAAATATTTTCATTTATATAATATCATGTCACCTACTGTACATTATAATACATTAATACGTACTTGTTGGCTATTATAGTTAATTATAATTTAAAATATTACATTTTAGCCCTTTAATAATTTAGAAGTGTTTTTCTGTAAAATAATTTGTACCTAGTTGTTATTACACTTTCATGTTTTCGAAACAAATCCCAGAATATATTTATTTTGAATGAGTATATAAATAATACAAACTATAAAAGAAGTAATAAAACGTTAGACTTGTATTTTAAAAGTAAATATATTATCGTCACGCATCACAGTACTTTTTTTATAGTTTCAGAAACATGAAAATAATACTTTTAGTAACTAAAATATAAACATATTTCAAACATGGTTACAAACGATATCTACGAAAAAAACAATCAAATAATTAAATTTACTTTTTTTTTTTATCTCTCCTAATTCAACTATAAATCGTTATACATGATATGCCTTTAAATTGTACAAATAATACATATTTATGAAAAAAGTATAAACTTATTAATTAGCGAATCATCAGATATAAATGAATACGTATATTTAATAATAGGCTAATTATTTTTTGGAATGAGAACTAGATATTTTATCTAACTGTTAATTGTTGAGCAGATGATTTTATTGAAGATATATTTAAGCATCTAAATCAAAATTAAAATGATGTCATAGAAAGATAATAATCCTTGATAGTGATTTTGAATCAAATATAAAATACCTATAGTATTATGTAATATTTTTCTAATACCTACTTAAAACTCAGATCATTTTTACAAGCTTTGATGTAATATTAATAATTGTAATCATTTTAAAACTATTTCTGATCCTATATTATACTTAAATCTTATATCGTAGGCTATTATCCTTCGTAAATAAAAAGTTTAATAATGTAAAACTACTCGTTTGAATTTCTATTCATACATGTATCGACATTTAAATACAAATTTGTAATCTGCTTATAATTTTATTAAAAACGTGGTACTGATTTATCAAAGAAAGTCTGTACACCACAGGACACTCTTTAAATTACATACAAATGCAAGAATTAGAAAATATAGTCTGAACTCTTTAGTTTACCTAAGAATTTTAGAATCCATACATTAAAATATTTAATTATTATCAGCAAAAATGAGTACCTATGTACATCCCCCATATATATATATTAATATTTAATAGTATAATTAAAATTAAATAATTTGTGTTAATTATCATATTTCTTATAAGTCATGTGATAAGTAGGTACCGTTGAATAATGTTGATTTCTAATATACTGTCTATAATCATTTCAATCTTAAACATCCTTATTTACTAACAGAAATCATAAAATCATTTTAAAGGTATTCTGAAATGTGTTATTTTATATTATCCAAATTAATGCCATCCTTAATTTATTTTTCGTAAAATTTTTTGAATAACTGTTTACAAGTATTATAATTTAATAATAATAATAAATATTTTATTGGTACAATTTTATATTGATATTCATACGATTTCTTAAATATTGGTTCGATATAGGTTTTGTTTTTTATTATGACTTATAAGTTATAGTGTATCTACTATCGTCTGTACTGTCTTGTTTCTATGAAAAAATATCGTTGACTATGAAATGTTTTTTTTAATGTTTTAAATGCACATACGTAGGTATATTATGTGCTCTTTTCACCCATTTGTTATCACTCTTAGCTAAATCAGTAAACTAAAGCTATACACGTATACGACCCTACCATACTACATTTTTAAACGGAGGTATAATATATAGCTATAAGTTAGGCCGTTAGGGACCAAAGTAATTCTGGCTAGTACAAGAAAAAGAAAGTACTCGTAAATTTTAATTATGAAATTGATACTTTTTTACTGCAAAAATGTTATCCATCGTATGTTTCAATTAACTCAATGATTTTTTTACTTGAATTTCTGTAGTAAATATAAGAACGGTGAACCTCAATATTTTAATAAAACACTTTGCCAAAAATACATTTATCATTTTGGTAATATTTTTAATTTCAATAAATATACTTATTTATCAAACATACTGGCACATAGAAAATATAATCATAGTTTATAATAAAATATTTTAAAGTTTATGTTAACATACTGTATCTAATAAAATTATAATAATAATTATTATTATTATTATTAATTTATTTCTCAAGATAAGAATACTGGGCCTCACTGAGTATTCTCGTGTGGAGGCCCAGGAGTTATTATGTGTACATGAGTTTAATTAATTTCTAGTGTATAAGTTACATGTTGTATTGTTTAAAATTATTAATTATATAATATTAAGTAAAAATATGTGTCTACTATCTTAGTGAAACATTACAAATTAAACGTAAATAAAAAAAAAAAATCATGATATATAAACCTGTAGTAGATTTCTTATAATTAGAGTATAAAAACAAAAAAATAGAACATAGAAAAATTGATAAATAATATAAATTTAACAAATAGTTAAAAAAAAGTATGTTATTAATTATAATAATAGGTTATTGTTGAATTCATAAAGAAGCCATTTCTTAAAGTCTATCTTAAACCTAAGCAGAGTTAATGCATGGAAGTGTTTTGGTATTAAGTTTAGGATTTTTGTACCGACGAATTTATATTGTTTTCTTGTATATAATTTTTTAATTATTAATTGTATATAATTTAAAAATGTAGACATGTAACAAACGTTTGGATATTTAATTGACTTACTATTCTTCAATAAAAATTAAAAAATATTTAACCTATTTATACTTTATAGTGTTCATAATCATAATTTGTTTTTCCATATTATATAATTTCAATTTTATATGAGAATATTCTGTAGGTTTTTATTCAATTTTAAACCATTTTCAGAACACTAACCTTATTTATATTTTCATAATATTGTTTTTGACACATAGGTACATGATATTACCATAAAAAGTATAAACACATTTTAAAAAACTGAACGCTATCATTAAAACCATATTATGGTATAAGTAAATGTATTTATGTTTTAAAATCCAATATTGTCTACCACCAATAGTTGCACGTGTAGTTAAGTAGGTATAGTAACGAAAACAGTGTGAATTGTATAACAAAACCGACATCAACCACAGTAAAGAACTTACTTGGTGTAATGAATCTCTGAGACGTGAGTGTAATCGACAAAATAATATCCTGTGAGTTGAGATTGTAAGACATGTTTGCAATATTATACTGTACGAGTATACCTAGGTATATTGAATTATTATTGCAAGTAATGGTTAAATTTGAAATTCTTGATAAAGTGATGAACAGATCAAAGTCTAAATGAATAAAAGTAAATGGCTATCTTTCGGCTATCGGTGTTAATATTATATGACATCACGGTATAGCACCTGTGGGCTGCAGCGAGAGCGCAGATAATGTCGGTACGGTGATTCGTAGGCATTGGTATACCGGTAATCGGTATATGGTTATAGAAGTATTCCACTTAAGTGATATTGGAAAACACTCAGTGCCCCTCTTACAGGAGGACGGTTAGGCAGTTTAACCAACTTAAGACCGCGTGTCGTTTACGACGTTTCTAAAGTGCGGCATAAAATTTATGCCATTTGCCATTATACTATCGTGTACCTAACCACTTTGTGTGCGTGTCCCGTTGCAGGTGAAGTTTACGACGGACTGCCCGGCCCAGGGGAACCGAAATTACATACCGGTCAGCGACCTGTACGGCCGAAACTTCACGGACGCGAACGGCGAGTTCCAGCTGGAACTGTCCATCGGTCACGTGCGCACGGTGTACGACACGGAGTTCGGCGTGCCCACGTCGCTCACGTCCCGGCTGATGCACCACCACCACCAGATCCAGAACCACCACAACCCGGCGGCCGGAAATGCGCTCCAGCACCAGTACGGCACGGCGTCGCCCAGGGGGACCAAGTGCAAGCTGGAGACGTCGTACTTCACTTTCGGCGGATTCGACTGGAACCTGGCGCTGTACCCGCACGGCGTCAAAGACGTATCGTGTAAGTGGCCGTTTGTTTTTTTTTTTTATCTCTTCGTAAATTTCCTCCTGCCCATCGGCGAAAATGAAACATCACAAATTATTAGTATAAGTATTATTTAAGTATACCTACTTCGCGTATCGCTGAAACTATATCATAGATAATAATAATAATAATACAATCCACTACGATTTTTTTTTTTTTTTTTATTGAGTAAAAAGACAATCTACAATCTATACAACAAATATGCACATTTATTAGATGAGATAAAAGAGTACAAAAAAAACAACAATGAATATTATGATTTTGGGGAATTACCCAGTGGTAACACCTAGCACGTGAAAATTTATTTACTGTCGGTTAATATGGGTTTTTTTTTTCAGTACAAAAGGTCCCTGCACCATTTTCTTTTTAACCTACGTTGAGGGTTATCGGGTAGAGTTTTTGTTGATAGTTTAATAATCAAGGGGTTTGTATGTGACTGGAGTTTATTGTGGAATCTAGCATAGTATATTTTGGCAATTTGATTTAAAAATTGTACTTTAAGATCTTTGTGAAGATTATTGTTCGTTATGTACCAGGGTGCAGAGGAAAGTAGGCGGAGGCAGATGGATTGAAAGGCTTGAATTTTTTTGGTGTTGGAGGGTTTTGCGGTTCCCCATAACTGGATACCGTAGGTCCATAGTGGTTTAAGTAGAGACTTATAAATTAATAATTTGTTATTTATGTTCATTTTAGATCACAGGAGAGGCCTTAATAAATGAAGACGGGTGTTTAGGGCTTTACGTTTGTTTTTAATATGGGAATTCCAAGTTAGTTTACTATCTAATATAAGGCCACTACGAATTGAGAATGATAATAATATATTGAACGCACCAATAAAATATCTCTCGCGGACAACTGTTTTTCCTGTCGCCCTCGGTCACTATAAAAGTTCAAAATATTCATAAGCAGATGATATTATCTTAAAAAAGTTTAAATTTCGTGTTTCATTGTGACCGGTACTCATTTGCGTGTTGTTCATTCGTACAATAATATTGTAATAATATGTTAGAAGCAATCAGTACATGATTGAACTTGAACTAAACGAATTGCACAACAATAACAATTATGTACTGTGTCTTGTATTAATATAGTTTATGAACACTGCACACGTGTATAATACAATCCCTTTGTAAATTGTAGCAACAATAACATTACTATAGCATTGTACGGTTAGGTTAGGCTCTATATGTATCAGTTAAAACGCTTATATTATTATTTAACGTTTGAATGTTATTAATTACTCGATACGCTATGATTATCATAATTTACAACTATGCAATAGATAACTATTTCCTGAAGAACAAATTCAATTCACGTATTAAAATGTAGGTATTATAAATGTATTAAGATATATATAAATACGCGTGTGCTTTGTTGAAATGTATGGTAAGTGATAAGTAGTATAATATCAATATCGGTTAATATTGAAAAATGGTGGATGATCTCATAAGAGAATTTTAGTATGAGATCACTATTTGTGATGACACTACATTATATAATATTATAATGAATTAAAGTGTCTACATTTGGTTTTTATGAGAAATAAAATAATGATTTCGATATATCAAAAAAATAACCAGATGCCTGTAATTTCTCCTTAGTTATCAATTCTTTGATCATTGAGCCTATAAGTAGTTTATTATTGTTACAAATTTGAAAATAATCATAAATCATCGCATACAATAACGACTGCGCTTGGATCTCGATTAAAACCTCGGTTTCCGAACTTTATTTAATGCATTAAATAATCTACTGATAATATCAAAAAACGATTTCTTGAAAGCCCAAAATAAATCTAATTTTCATTCGTTAAATAGGACTGCTTGAAGTTTTTGAAGCACTCTTTGTATTCTTAATAGTGGTCACAAAAAAAAAAATACTATTGTAAGAAGACCAATACGTTTCTCGCTTCTCTCAAAATCTAAAATTCAAATCAAGTTTTGTATATTTATAGCTTAGGTATATTTATACTATATTTATATTCACTATCATTATGCAGTTGTATAATAAGGTGCGTCAACTCCTGATTTGATTGTAGGTATCTACTGATATAATATAATATTAAATTCATTTTTTTTCAAAGTTCAGCATACTGAAAAAAACTTTTGTTCATACTTTTTTTAAAACAATATAATGTATAAAATATTGCATGATATTTCGTGATATTTTTGTTTGTTATGTACAACGTATTTTGGTAATTACTAATTTTTATTTTTTTGTCATATTCTCAATAATGGAGTCCTATACTAAACCTAATCTATCAAGACAATATATAAAATATTTAAAAAATATAATAATACATACTTACCTAATATATTTTTTAATATAACTTATATTACCTACCTAATTATTTATTATTTTATATTTGGTTCGTTATGGGTATGATATCGATATGATATACGTGAGTTATATGTAATAACTAATAATAAGTAATAACTCTATATTATGGGGACATTTTTTTAGAGGGACGTAATAAACAGATACCTACAAAAACCATTTATTTTCAAAACTATAAGGTTTAAAATTGTATTCACTGAATTTGTAACTATTAATATTAAAAATTAAATATTTAACAATTTTAAAGACATTAAAACTATTATTATGTTATTTAATATTATTTTGTTTAAAAATTAAATTAACGTTGTACATTTTAAAACTCAAACTCTGGTCATAAGAAAGGCTTTATGCTATTACTGGTGCTATACTGCTACCCCTAAGTAAGTTATATTAAATATTAATTCGATTTAGTTGAAGACTTTCGTACGAGATTATCAAAAGTTCAAAATATTTAATGCACCTGAAATAAAAATTGATGACCCTATTGAGGTATTGAATTATTAATGGCTTTAGATTTGCATTTACAATTTATAATGAATGAGTAGTAACAAAGTTTCTTTGTACGACTATCCAATATTAATTAAATATAATCATACCACTATAGCTCTAACATATTTATAAATGGGCAAGTAATTTTAAAATTAACAGAAATATTGGAAAATTATAATGCGGATCAGTGTTGAAGAAACTTAAACTTTTTAATTCAAACTAAAAAATGTGAAACGAATTATTGCATCAGAAAATTATATTGTGATTTATATTTCATTTTTAAGAGGGCGTTTCATCAGTAAAGATTTTTAAGGTGTATACATACAGTATAGTAATACAGAGTGTTTTTTTTAAGTATGTTCACCCTATTTTTATGCTTAAATTATACATAAATTCAAATTCTGATTTTGGAATTTTTAAATACACGCGGAGAACATATTTTAGAATACTTTTTGTACCACTTAAGGATGATTCTGTGACAATATAAACTTCTGTTTTTCAAATCGGAACCCTTTTCTTCCACTTTTAATTATTCAGCTATTACTTATACTATGATGTATTATTAACATTTAATTGTTTTAATTTTTGTCCTTTAGGTACTTCAGTTGAAGGCCGTATGTCTGTATATTTGAACCGATGCACAGGATTCGACCATCAATGCCGTGTTCGGTACATGTTGGTTTTGGGCGATGGAGAAAAACGCCTAGACTCGGGAATATTGGATGATGTATCCGATTCAGATGGGAAAAGCTATGGCTGGCATCCCAGATATAAGTTCTCCGAACTTGTTACAAAGGTTTGTACAATAAAATTGTTTATAACTCAATTATTTCTTTCACAGTGAAATTTGGTTCAATTAATGACAGGCTTTAGGATAACTTTGTTTGAGCTAATTATTGTAGGGTTGTTGTATATTTAATAATGTATTAACCATTATTAGACTAATCTAAAATTATTTATATAATATAATGTACGGTATTTATTTACCTTTGGCTTATTTTTCTAGTCGTAACTAAAACAAAATCATTCCCTTGTTATCAAAGCTATAAGTTCAATAATAAAAACAAACAAAACTCTGAATTTGTAATCTACGATGCTATTCATTAGTGTTTTTTTAATTAAAAAAATTTGAATATGTAATAAATTATTGCATACAAAAGTACCTACCTTTACAAATAAAATGATTAGAAATAATAATTGACTAAAAAATCAAATAAATATAACCATTAACCATCCATAAAGTATTAGAGATTTACTTATATATATATGGTGAAAGTATTGATACTTGAGACTTGAGAGCAAATAATATTAAATGATGTACATTATAAAACTGGGATTCGAAGGTTATTCTCAGTAGACTTGTGTTTTCTTAGAACAAGTACGTGTCGATAGTTTTGGAAGATTTCAGACAAATAATGATGAAAACAAAGATTGATATAAACTACTGTTATCTTTGTATAGATTTAAAGTGTACGAACACAGCCAGGGCTTATCAGTGTAAATTTGTAAATATACCTTTAAACAGTAAAAAGTTGTTATGTTACATAACTAATAATAACGTTTACAAATTGTGTGGATAGTCGTTGTATTTTTTGTTAACATTGAACGGTTTATTATAACTTATTAATGTCATATTTCTTAAATTGAAAATTCATAATATACAATATACATGATACATACAAATGCACGAAAAGAATTATTTATTTAAAGTAGGTACTTATTATTTTATGAATTTAATCTAGGTAGGTACTATAATAGTACTCGTATGTAGATGTGTATACAAATATTGAATATATAATAATAACCCAAAATATGTATATAGCTGGTTAAATTGTTAGAAGTTATAGTAATTTATTTCAATATAAGTACCTAAATCCTACAATAAACTAGTAGGCAGGTACACAATAAAACGCTTTTATTGTTTAATTTATTTTATTATTAATTATTATCTAGGTATTAAATATTGTGATGACTGTTTTAAAAAAAAATTGAATGAATATAAATGTAATATTTTTATCAAACTTATTATTTAATAATATAGCGAATATAATAATATATAAAATATAGGTACCTACATATAAGTAAAAATGCAGGATATTTTTTTTTTTATTAATTCTAAGATATTATGTTAATTGAAAGATTTCTGAATTTAAACTAGACTAGAGCGAATTCTACGATATTCGAATTTCAAGCACGTTCCCTTAATTCAATTTGTTGAGTTTCGCAAGTAACCTAATATATAATTATCGTGACTGGACAAATATTATAAAATATATCTCTATTAAAAGGTTAACTATTAAATTATTTTCAAGATATATTAAATAATAGATACTCAACATTATTGAGGCAAGTAGCCCTATAAAATAATTATTTTTTCAATGACGATGACGTATTTATAACTCAATTTTGATAAATTCTCTTGACACGGACAAAAGTCGATTACCTACGCCATAGCGTATTTATTTTGTGTAAGTATTTTACTATAAAATTAATTGTAATATCGATGAACTCCGTATACCAGATACGAGATTACTTCAGCTTGTTCGCAATCACGGCACATACCGGTATATCGGTATATTGCAATTTTCGCTATAATTATAGCTCAGTTGGTATTCGTATCAGCTATAATTATTAATGAAATTCATTGTAATTATTTTATTGCAATTGATTTGGCTGAAATAAAGAAATAACAAAGTTTTTGATCAGTAAAACTTCACTATAGGTACATTTTTGGGCGGATGATTTTTTTTCATATTATTATCTTCTTTGAACTTACTATTATTGTTAGGAATTTTAAACGTATACAATAACAATAATTTCGTAGTGATAGTTGAATTTAACACACTGATTTTTAGCTTCTTTTAGTTATGAACTTTAAATAATCGATGCAATTTACAGTTCACTTGAAATAATAAGCAATTGTTAAAATAGATAATTGTTACGTTTACAAAAAGCAAGTAAATAATTACCACTGATATAATTAATTATAGTTGTATTTATATGCAATAGCATGTTCAATACACATTTTTTAACATTTTAATCTATTTTATTCTAAATGCAATAAGTCAATATTCTTATTAAAAGCATCCACTTGTTGGAACCCATAAACTACGTAAACATTTTTTTTTATCCCTACTATGATATTCTGTAATACAAAATGATAAATAACAGTCATAATATATTAAATAACTTACTTTTTTGTTACCCTACCAGTTCATAATTTGGTAATAATTCAAATAGCTTATTCTAAAGTTGTTCAAAATATACATTGAGGCTTTACAATCACTAAAGACAACAAATCGATAAAAAATACGAATTGATTTTTCAGACTCATAGGTACATATAATATTATATATTATACGCATATATAATTATATAGGTAATAAGTAGACTAATCTTTATAAAATCTACAACGTTGACAGGTTGTAATTATAGATTCTTCTTCATCAATTGAAACTTGAAATAATAATTTACGTTGACATAATCAAAATACGATGAAATATTTATTATTTGACGTTAAACCAGGGGCGTTATTTTAACTTTTTGAAGGACATGCTGCAGGCAAAAATAATTTTTAGCAGGTTTATATTATATTATATTGTACTAATTAATGTAATGTATTATAAATTTATATATTTTTTTTTTTGGTTAAGACTTTGACAACTTAGACCATTAGCCTAAAGGTTATTTTTAGTCGGTTTAGAACACTTGTATATTTGTATATCTTGATAAATTGTTGGGTCTGCTTAACTCAAATTACGCTCCTGTGTTAGATCATGTAATGTTCGTGGTTAGTCCATAATAAAATAAAATAACTAACTTTTCCCTTATTTATTTAGATTTAGAATAATCAGAAAATGACCGAAAAATCTTCTGTTAGGTTACTAAAACTAACCGTTTATTACATACATGAAAATCAAGGCCAAAGAACCTTTTATAGGTGTACTTTAAATAATCCCAACTGTCATGATTACAGACGCACCCGAGCTTATTGTGGTTAACCCTTCTACTATATACATCTTTTGAGTGTATATAACCACTAGAATTTACTTTAAAAATAGGTCTGTGTTCCAGAAAATGGCCCAGTTAAATAATTACAGAGAACGCAACAACATTGGTAAATACATTCGAATTTATTTAATGGAATTATTTAAGCTTCTAACATACCTTATAAATACTATAAAATCTAATTAGTTGTATTATACGGTTGTCCGATCGTATTTTCAATTTCAATTAAGTTTAATATAATTTTACATCCGTATGACGTGTGATCTCACTTATCACCATTTTACCAACGTACAACATAGCACATTTTTGTTCAGAAGAACCTATTTTGAGTAGTCAGCTTTATTATCAAAGTTAATTGACCTATTATAAAACCTCAAGGTAAGAATATAATACAGGTACAAATACCTACCTACGTTAATTTTTCACTGTATAGTTACATTATTGAGCAAGTTATGGGTATGTACAATTTTATAATTTAAAAACTCTCATAAATCGCTTAAAAATTTAAATGTCGTATAAATCCAACGTAACTACGAATATAGATAATGTTCTTACCTTTAAGTTTTATAATAGGTCAATTCACATAATATTAAAGATAACAGCAAATATTGGTTTTTAATTTTTTTATGTGTTGATTTGTAATATTGTAAATTTGTAAGACAGAGATAATTGCAGATAACACATATCAAGGGCCCTTGGCGTTTTCTTTATAACATAATTTCCAATTTTCATTGTAACAAATTATGCGAATTTCATACTTATAATATTATAATCTATCAACATTATTTTGAACAGTCGTGTCTTACATATTTGTATTACTGTTGTTACTTACTTATAAAACTACTGCAGTTGTCGTCTAAATAACAACCGCAGTAATACGTTACACTGTAAAAATTGTAGTATTTTTTCTGTCAGGACCAACGTCTCCTCTAACAAATTAGACATACTTTATATTTTAGTTGCTAAGATCTTCAGAATCTGGGACAGTGCCAAACCATCTTAGACCTGTACAGTTCAGCTGTTTCGATCCATCACTCACTAAGTACAAACAATTACACAATACACACTGACATATGATACCACACATTAACACACATTGGTTTTACACGGCAATCCCTCCACGTATTTTGAGCTTGTCATGTGATGGTTACTTATACTCACAAACGTCTTCCGGTATGACGTACGATTAGGTGTATATTTCACTACGGATTTTGGCAACTAAATAACAATATTTTTTTTTCTTAGAAATATTATTTTATGTTACATTATCGTACGAATATGCCTAACGAGAGAACACGCCTAGTCTGCTAACCGGTATCGATGCCAGGCTGTCGAGTAGTGATACAGAATCGGCGTGTTATCTCCCTGGATAGAGTAGGTATAGTAATAATTTCTATATCTTCTAAATAGGTTTTTACATTTATTTTTAAATATTAATTGTCAGCCAAGGCTATATTTATAATATAAAGAAATAAATTACTATAAACTGAACTGCCAGTTTCTTGTTGTAATAGAAAGGCATTGTTGTAAACCAGAAAAAAATCCAGCCCAAAACGTTAACAGGAATAAATCGTTGATCAACAATTGTCGATTTTAGTACGTGACAGCAAGTGGCTTTTATGTCTAAATCGAATTAGATAAATTGCAATCGTCTTCGTAGTGTTTAAGTTTATTCTTTCTATATACCTACAAATAAGTTTTATTCTAGAAATCTAAAAGTGTTTCTTTTATATAAGTTGATATTTTGAAACACTCTATCCTGAACATGGATTTATTTCCTCAATTTCTTCTGAAAGTATTTTCATTGACAGGTTAATTTTAGTTATATTATCGTGTTTAATCAAATAAAAAAAAGGTGGGTAAGTGGATGTCGCTCTGCTGTACAGTAGGTTACAAGTGGGTCACTGTATAATGGATGGTATTAAATTTGAATTCAATGATACAATATCATTGTATAAGAAAAACGATTCTGAGCGAAGACGGTATGTCAGTCTAGGTTTAAGACATATTATATACATATCTATGGTATTAGAAAAAAAATTGACCTATAATAAATTCCAAATTAATCATATCACAATATCCACTAGGTACTTATAACACGTTATACACCAATAACAAACCCTGATACTATCATTGATATATAATATAGTGTACTTTAGAAGTTTCAAGTACCCACGAATAGTATTATACACTCACAACAAAATGACTAAAATAGGTATGCTAGGTTTTTTAATATGTAATTTCGTCCCAAATTTGAACTTAAAATGTCTGTAAAAAATAACTGTGCTCATATATTTTTTAGATTTTTTGGCTACAGTATGAACTATTTATGAGAATCTTTTTTTTAAATTTTCAATCTTTAGCAATAAAAACTGAACATTTTATAATTTATTAATTACGATGGTTGATAATTTTCGAGATTTTGATAAATTTTGTAAAAATGCGATCTTTAAATGCTTATAAAAAAAAATTGTGCCTATGTATTTTTAATATTTTTCAATTGCTATTGTAACAATATATCAGGAGCCTTGTATTAATTTTTTACACTTTTTGGCCCAACAGATGAAACTTTATTGATATTTATAGAAAAAAAAAACTAAAAAAATTGAAAACTGAAAATGTCCGTAAACGGCTCAAAAAGAGTCAAAATATTTTCAAAATTGTATGGTGTATAGGAAATGCTAATATAAACATTCAGTGAAATTTTCATGTATATACAGTAATTCGTTTTTTAATTACAACAAAAAAAGGAAATTGCCACATGAGAAATCGAGTGAATATCCAATGTTGTAAAAATTTGAATTTCAAACGCTCATAAAAATTTAATTTGACTTTCCTGTAGAGATTTTTTTATTGATAAAGGTAGACAATCTTATGAGTAATCTTGTATTAGATTTTCAAATCTTAGATTTAAAAGATAAATTTTTACGAATTCTTAACTCGAAATAATTTGCAAATTTTCGTGAATTTTCCATATTTTGTCATTTTTTGAACTTTAAATGCTTGAAAAAAAAACTGTGACTAACGATTTTTAATATTTTTCATCTGTCTTTGAAACAATATAGTAGGAGCCTTGTATTAAATTTTCAAGTATTTTTACTCAACAAATAATTTTTTATCGATATTCATAAAAAAAAAAGGTGGGTAAGTGGATGTCGCTCTGCTGTACAGTAGGTTACAAGTGGGTCACTGTATAATTGATGCTATTAAATTTGAATTCAATGATACAATATCATTGTATAAGAAAAACGATTCTGAGCGAAGACGGTATGTCAGTCTAGGTTAAGACAAATTATATACATATCTATGGTATTAAAAAAAATTGACCTATAATAAATTCCAAATTAATCATATCACATTATCACAATATCCATTAGGTACTTATAACACGTTATACACTAACAACAAACCCTGATACTATCATATATATATAATAGTAAACTTTAGAAGTTTCAAGTAGGTACCCACGAATAATATTATATAATCACAACAAAATAACTAGGTTTTTTAATATGTAATTTCGTCCAAATTTGAAAATAAAATGACTATAAAAATAAACTGTGATTGTATATTTTTTAGATTTTTCGGTAAGAGAATTAACTACTTACGTGGAATCTTGTTTTAAATTTTCAATCTTTAGCTATAAAAACTGAACATTTTATAATTTATTAATTACGATGATTAATAATTTTCGAGATTTTGAAAAATTCTGTCAAAATTCGATGTTAAAATGCTTATAAAAAAAATTGTGCCTATGTATTTTTAATATTTTTCAACTAATATTGTAACAATATATCAGGAGCCTTGTATTAAATTTTTACACTTTTTGGCCCAACAGATAAAACTTAATTGATATTTATAGAAAAAAAAAACTAAAAAAATTGAAAACTGAAAATGTCCGTAAACGGCTCAAAAAGAGTCAAAATATTTTCAAAATTGTATGGTGTATAGGAAATGCTAATATAAACATTCAGTGAAATTTTTATGTATCTACAGACTACAGTTATTAGTTTTTTAATTACAACAAAAAAGGAAATTGCCACATGAGAAATCGAGTGAATATCCAATGTTGTAAAAATTTGAATTTCAAACGCTCATAAAAATTTAATTTGACTTTCCTGTAGAGATTTTTTTATTGATAAAGGTAGACAATCTTATGAGTAATCTTGTATTAGATTTTCAAATCTTAGATTTAAAAAGATAAATTTTTACGAATTCTTAACTCAAAATAATTTGCTAATTTTCGTGATTTTTCCATATTTTGTCAATTTTTGAACTTTAAATGCTTATAAAAAAAAATTGTGACTAAGGATTTTTAATATTTTTCATCTGCCTTTGAAACAATATATTAGGAGCCTTCTATTAAATTTTCAAGCTTTCGCAACCAACAAATAAAATTTTATTGATATTTCTAGAAAAAAAACTAAAAAAAAACTAAAAATGAAAATGTCCCTAAACTGTTCAAAATAAATCAAAATATTTTGAAAATGTTATCGTGTATAGAAGATGCAAATATAAACAACCAGTGAAAATTGCATGTGCCTACGGTCATTTGTTTTAAAGTTACACCAAAAACCAAATTCAATTTTCTGAAAAATCGATTTTGCTTAAAAATTCCCGTTTTTCCTTAATTTTTCTTTTGTTTTTCCCGGCGCTCTTGAAAACTACTGGGAAATTTAAATTTTGACCTCCCCAATGCACCAACGATATTCACTTTCCAATCGAACAAGATACTGAAGTCGAAAATCGAAGCATTATTTCGACTACTTATCGTGTACACAGACACAAAAAAAAAATAAATATAAAAATAAAAAAAAAAAAAAAAAAAATAAAAAAAAAAACACACATCATTGTAAAATCAATACATTCATCGTTTCACTCAGAATCTAAAACTAATAAAATTGGAAACTGAAAATGTCCCTAAACAGTTCAAAATAAATCAAAATATTTTGAAAATGTTATCGTGTATAGAAGATGCAAATATAAACAACCAGTGAAAATTGCATGTGCCTACGGTCATTTGTTTTAAAGTTACACCAAAAACCAAATTCAATTTTTTGGAAAACCGATTTTGCGTAAAAATTCCCGTTTTTCCTTAATTTTTATTTTGTTTTTCCCGGCGCTTTTGAAAACTACTGGGAAATTTAAATTTTGACCTCCCCAATGCACCAACGATATTCACTTTCCAATCGAACAAGATACTGTAGTTGAAAATCGAAGCATTATTTCGACTACTTATCGTGTACACAGACACAAAAAAAATAAATATAAAAATAAAAAAAAAAATAAAAAAAAAACACACATCATTGTAAAATCAATACATTCATCGTTTCACTCAGAATCTAAAACCTTATAAATTAGACTACAGTAAACAAATCACAGTATAAATTGAAGTAATAACTATTAAAATGTTTTTAGTTTGCACTTGGAGACCTGGAGATTGACGGTTGACGCGAAAAATTCGTAGGCTTGACGTTATGAAGACCCTAATTTTTATTTTTCGTTTTATCAGCAAATTTAAGAAATAATTTTTTAACTGTGTTGAATTATTTTTAATTTTATCTGTTGCCAATAAGTCTGCATTATTATTGAGATATATAGTTTTCGACATTAAACAACCTTTGAAGCATACTTTATATCGTAAACAATAAAAATGAACCAATTTATAAAAATGTATTATTGTATATATTATTTATCATGTATTTGATTAGGTATATAAAAAAATCAACGAGGATATAATTTTACTTGTAATTAATGGATTTATTTATAAAAATATCTGATTAAGGGAAGAATAACATGAATGGGTTTACTGAAAATAAAAATAACCATGTATTATTCCATTTATTATACATACCATAATCAAATCTTTATGATACTGTGTAGGTATATAAACCAAATTAAAGTTGATTCAGATGGTTTTTTGCGCAGTGCTCAGCTATAACAGTTATAAAAGTATTATTATAATATGTTTATTGTTTATGCACATATTAATGACATGGTACTCCTATGCAATCGTACTCCTTAATAATAATGTGTATGCTTATGGGAATTTAACTGTACATAGTTGTACATTGAAGTATGGTCCCAGACGGAATGTTAGAATAATACCGCTGGAATATCTAATACAATATTGGTAAATTTAGATTTAAAATTATAGTACACTAAGGGCCAATTGTACCGTCTACGGTTACACTTCGATTACGCTTAATCAGCCGATAACAGATTTTATAACCGGGCGAATTCGGCCAATTAAACTTCGGTTAACTTTAATCGGAGATGGTACAACTGGCCCTAAATTATGTACACCCTATCCCTACTTATAATCCATAATATGTATTTTTGAGACTGCCTACAGTTGAAATCCTTATAACATTATTTGAGTATTTATTATTTATTTTTTTAACAGTAAAATCTTTTGTTATAATATTTACGTGTATGGTGTATTTGTGTTGTTTCAGGGCACGATTCGGGTACATCTCGAGATGTTGTTGGCGAATACCTTGAGTGAAGTTATATCCAGCATAGTGATAACGGGTATCAACCAGCACGGGGTGTCGTCAGCAGCGTCCAGTGGCGTTGTGGCGTCGCCCACGAAAACGCAATGTTACGACCGGGACAAGCACGCGTGGTCCATAAGGAGCGATTGCCAATCGGAAACGGTGCGACTTCATATGGTCTACAAGGATATTCAGAACGTGCCCAGAAATCATCTCAGGTAATCAAACGGCATAATAAGATATTGAAATGTGTGTTATGTGAACTCTAGTTGAATGCATGTGTCCATGAAAAATTTGTATAATATGTGAATCTAGAGCTATCCGTGTGACATTTACTCTCTTCCACCAGTCTCACTAAAAAACTAAAAGTGACTATATAGCACCAGTGTTCTGGATACTTTAAAAATATTAAATTACAAATGTGAGCATAGAACTCGACGAGGACAAATAAGTTTATAAATAAATATATACATCGTATGACGGAGGTAGATAGTTTAGAAAACCAAACTAAACAATTATTTTTTACAATGTTCCAAACTAAATAAAAACATCTCGTTTCATGGAATAAATCGGTAGGTATCAAAATAAGTAGAATGTCGAGTTCGTGACAGGTTTATATATAGAGTGGTTTTATATATCCAATTTCACTAGGTGTACCGTATACACAAACAAGCTTCCAACACAGTAATAAAAAAAAAAATTAAAAAAATTGAAACTCAACAATTCAATAACTGACCAATATTAATTAATGGCATATCTTATATCATACTTTGAAGCTTTTGGTAAATGTTTTACAATATAGTATAATATCTATATTAAACTGCGCATACAACCCGAAAGGAATGCAATTAAAATTAGTATTATAATAGTCTTTATAGTTTGACATTTAGGAACTATAAAATGATGCAATTTGTAGGCAATATGACTTAACACTTCTATTTTTATTCTGTGAAATATGTCAAATAGTATGATGATAATTTAACATCAATACAATTTAAATTTTATCATAAATAGCATTAATGATTACAACTTACAAATAACAACAAGACTGTTTTCAAAATTATAAATTTAAATTTAATAATAATAATAATAATAAATGAATCGGCTCGTATACATTTCTTTTTAAATTTTCATGAAACGATTAAGTTAGGTATAAAAATGAAAGGTAATAATATAATTGAATTTATATTTCACTGAATGCCGTAATTATTAATTGTATGAAAATAAAAATATGACACATATCCATAGTATTATTATAGTATATATCGACTGTTCAAAATTTAACGTATTTATACGTATGTACCTGTCGTTGTTTATACTAGTCTGAAAAGCTAGCATGCTTTGGTCGTTATCATAATTTATGTATTTATTACAATATCACAATTCAAAATAATATAATTATTTAATTTTAAGGTTCAACTTGCTGTTATAAAACTGTACATTTTAATACATCCATATCAGCATTTAACTAAAATTAAAATTATTTTTTCTATTGTTTATAATTTATTAAAAAAACATAAAAACGTACATAATATAATATCCATATAATAAGAGTAGGAAAATTAAAAAATCTATTGTTAAAAATGTATAATATTGGTTCCATTATATTATTTTGACAGTTGTTTTTTTTAACCCACATGAAAATATACAATGTGTAAAATCTATTTTCGAAGTATTTTAAATCAATAACACCTTTTTAAGAAATAAACATGCAAATTTTTTATATTTCAAAAATAGTCACATTATTGATTTTTCCAATTCCCTAATGTGAATAATTCAAAATAAATAACAATTACATCAATGTTATAAATAATACCTAATAAATAATTTTTGTTTTTCAAATTAAATTTAACTATACTAAAACAATAAAACATTTGTTTTACATTATGTATTTAATATTTAATATTTGATTTATACATGTATAATTCTATATTCATGAATTTATCTTATTAGTCCATGTTTGTTGTAATGATTTTAAAGTAACAAGTGAAATATCATAATATGTTTCTGTTTATGACTTGATTGAATTTAAATAAAGAATATCAAAGGAAATAAAATGACAATTTAGAAATAGCTTTACAAAAATAAAAACCTTTGTCATATTTTGTCTTAAAAATCGATGATTCCAAATAATTGGTTATACTACTACAAGTTCTAACTTATTTCCTTATAAAAGATGACCATTTCCACCCCCTATTAGATAAGAAATTTATTTAATTAATAGTAAAACTTTTATATAATAATTATCATACCTAATTACGAAATCCATATGTTCAATGTTTATACCAACGATTTGCAAATGCAGTTTATTAAAAGATAATTTGTTTAATTGTTTTATTGTCTACTCTTGTAAGCTTCAAATACAGTTATTATTATCTATAATTTATATTTACATTTTTTTAAACAAATAGCAGTGTAGCCGCCCCGACGTTGCCCGGACTAAGGATTTTTATTTTTAATAGATTTATTTGAAAAAAATGTTTATAGGTACATAATATGTATCATATTTCTTTTAATATAATATGTAACCAGTGGGCAATGGCAACTATTTTAATAAATAAATATATTTTCTTTTTTCGTAAGCTGAAAAATCATGTGTGAGCTAACCTTTAACTACCTACTAACAGAAGATTAAAAAAATATTAACACACTCCAAGTCTCGAGGATTCTATTGAAATAACTTTTATTATTACGGTCTAGTAGTTTTTGAATCTATTATATTCGAATCAACATCCAATTTTAGCTGTATAACCCGTCTTCACCCGTGTAAAAATGAAAACATTTAAATATTACGCTATACAATAGGTGCATCTTGGTTTTGGTATACCTCAGTTCACTGACAAATTTGCGTCAGTGTACCTCGTTTTGTGAACATCCGAGATGGAAAATTCGCCTGTGGCAGATTGAACATAGCACTTGGTATAAATTAAACGTTGTTCAAACTAATTTCTAAACTTTCATGATATTTCCAAGAACAACTTGAAATTTACTCAAAATCGGTTAAGTAGTTGTTGAGGACCTATATAAGCTACAAACATACACTCAATTATCTTATTTGTTTTAAAATATAATTTCTTTATTTGAAACCATAAACACGACGATTTTAAGCATGTTTTTACTTCATCGACCCGAGAAACCTAGTAGGTACAACCATAAAAATAAATAATATTATAGTTTAAAAACAATTAAATATTTTTGTTAATTTTCTACTCTTACTTTATTCGTCAGATCATGACCCGTCTCTTGGATAATTTTAACTCGTGCACTATACGTTTAAGAATAAAAATGGTTTTGAATATTAAAATAGTGTAATCAACCCTGCACTCATATCAGTCGGTTACCAGATTTTCTTAAAAAAACTAATTATTTTTAGAATTCATAAACAAATATTAACATACTGCTGCTAGTCATCCTTCTGTATAAAGTAAAAAAAAAATTTGCGTAGTGGTATATGACGTTATATGACGTAGTTTATTTGGATGACAAAAAAAATTATATTAGGTATTCCTAAAAAACATAAATTGGTTTAAAAAGTAATTTACTGATTATCCATATCACTAATAGTTTTGATGAAAGTAGATTGTGCTTATTGAATTGCTTATATGAATAGTCAGCCATTGAAAGTTGACACCATTTACAATTTATTCTTAAGGATTATTTTAGATCAGTAGCTTAAAAATGTGTAAGCTATGAATGTAAGAAAATCGTTCCTAATACATTAATGTACCACTTTTGCCTATACGATCCGCCGTGTTAAAACTAAGATAAAAAATTATGGAGAAGATAATATTAAGACTGGCGTACACAAATCTTCTTTATTCTCAAAAACCTGGAGCATGATTAAGATATTATATGACGTTATTACTAAAAATGTACCACGTTTTTAAAATTATTTTACACATTTGGAATACAAAATTAAGTAGAATAGTCGTTAATAATAAATTTCAAATAAATTTCAATAAACAGATTTGTATAGGTCTCGTAGGTGACATAGGTTTCGTCACTATTTTCTTATAATTCGAAATATATCATTAATATTTGTGTTTTTTTTTCCTTTGGTGAATTCTTAAGGAATCATCGTATTATACTAACGTCTAACACACTGTAATAAATATAACATAATAAATATTATAATAATACATATTTGAATAGAAATAAATTTAGGATTTACTATTAAAACAGCTTACATTTAATTTTTTACTTGAAATATTTTATTCATAAACACTAATCAGTTTTTTTTCATGAAACTCAAGATAAGATATAGGACTACCATGTATTCTCGCTTCACTCGTCTCAGCGCAGAGTAGCAGAGTTCTGTGAACATTACTATAAAACTGACCTGAAGAAAGCTACCTACTATACGGGCCTTATTTAAAATACTTATAGGTTATTTCCCGTTCTCTGTCACTCACCATAGGGGGAAGGCCACAGCTCGCAATCGCTACACCTGCCGACTACGTTCAGCACTAGTTTAGCTACACACTTTAGGGCTACGCTCTAAAGGATAATATAGGCATAGCCAACCTGATACCTATCCATGTAAGGTGTAACCCCTGGTATTGCTGTAAGTAGGTCAGATGGTTTATGTATGAACCTAACACCACCGTGTTCATGCGGTGAGTACGTTCAAAATCGAAATGTTTTGTTTTTCGCTGGATTCACGTAGGACTTGGCGTAAAATCTCACTTTGGCCGGTGACGGAAGAGACGCAAAATATAATATATGTGTTAAAAACTTAAAAACAGAATATCTCTAAAATAATGTATTTTAAATGGTATGGATTTATTATTATAAAATATTATAATAACAGCCATTTTATTGTGATGCTATGAATCAAATTTGGTTTAAGTAAATAGTTGGTAGTTTCATATTTTAATATAATATAGTTACATTATGATATAATACTATGAATAATAACTTTTTCATTCAGTTTTTAAATATGTTTTGATAAAAGCTTATAATTTCAATTGAAATGTTAAAAAAGCTTATTTATCAGGTATAGCTTTAAATATTGATTGCGTGAATATTAAATTATCTCAAAATGGAAAAATATTTAAGTATTTCGTAGTAATTTTGTAATTTTGTTGAGTATAAACTTAATATTGTTAGAAAGCTTACAAACCTTGTACTAAGATATTTTTGATTCCAACATCGTAAGTAACTACTTAAAGGGTTCACTGTACCCTATCTACACTGTATACTATATTAAACTCATGAA